TCCTTCCACCAGTGGTGCCCAGTTGCCTTCTTCCTCCCCCTCATCCTCCTAGAAGACTGCTGCTGTGATGTGGGGACAGTTCTGTGTTCCTCCAGGTCCCTGCATTGAACACTGGTCCGGGTGGTTTAGAGGCTTCAGTCTCACTTGTTCACTTTAAAAATGTTACTGTAATGTACTGTAATGTACTGTAAATGTTTACTGTACAATGTTAAAATGTTAAAAATTTCTGTAATGTCCTTAAAAATTTATGTAATGTTTCTTTGTTTGTGCACTTTATGAAGACTTTCTATATGTTGATGCACTTTCTAAAGAGTTTTGTACAATCCAATGTTCCTGCCTCATGTTTGCTGTTTTTAAAATGTTTTTCTATGTTATTTATAAAGTTAAAGTTTACTGTTTAAAATGTTTGAAATTATAAAGTGCACTTAATAAACCCTTTGTTAAACTAATTTGACTTTGTTCTGACTCTTTTTTAATTTGTTGTTGTATTTTCCCCCCATTGAGATGCATTGAATAGGTTTCAATGCATTTCAATTGGGGAACTGCGTTTCGCTTAGCGATGTTTCCTATAGTGATTTTTGCTTAAGGACGGCAATTCATTCCTATTGGAACGGATTATCCAGTTTTCAATGCATTCCAATGGGAAACCGCGTTTCGCTTAGCGATGAAATCGCTTAGCAGCGATTTTTTCAGAACGAGTTAACATCGTTAAGTGAGGCACCACTGTATCACTTTTAATTAAAGCACAGGAAATAATTGCCTTACTACTTTTACAAGTGTCAATGTTAAGGGCTAAGAGCAGGCCAGGACAATTTTCTTATATTATTTTTAGTAACGTAACATTATCAGCTTGAAATGAAAAGCACACTTGTGATGGACCCCATTTCTGATGAGGGCAGAACCAGAAGCAAAAATGGAGTCTTGTGGCATAAATGGTTGGCTGCCAATGGGACAAATGACCTCTTATATTTTTAGTAACATAACAAGTGCTACTTTAAAAAGAATAAATAAGGGACAATTACCAATACAGTTTATTTAACGTATATGCAGAATACATCATGCGAAAGGCAAGACTGGATGAATCCCAAGCCGGAATTAAGATTGCCGGAAGAAATATCAACTACCTCCGATATGCAGATGATACCACTCTGATGGCAGAAAATGAGGAGGAATTAAAGAACCTCTTAATGAGGGTGAAAGAGGACACCACAAAAAATGGTCTGAAGCTCAACATCAAAAAACTAAGATCATGGCCACTGGTCTCATCACCTCCTGGCAAACAGAAGGGGAAGATATGGAGGCTGTGACAGATTTTACTATCTTGGGCTCCATGATCACTGCAGACGGTGACAGCAGCCACCAAATTAAAAGATGTCTGATTCTTGGGAGGAAAGCAATGACAAACCTAGACAGCATCTTTAAAAGCAGAGACATCACCTTGCTGACAAAGGTCCGCATAGTCAAAGCTATGGTTTTTCCAGTAGCGTTGTATGGAAGTGAGAGCTGGCCCATAAAGACGGCTGACCGCTGAAGTACTGATGCTTTTGAATTGTGGTGCTGGAGGAGACTTTTGAGAGTCCCCTGGACTGCAAGGAGATCAAACCTATCCATTTTGAATGAAAGCGACCGTGAGTGCTCACTGGAAGGACAGATCCTGAAGCTGATGCCTCAGTAACTTTGGCATCTCATGAGATGAGAAGACGCCCTGGAAAAGACCCTGATGTTGGGAAAGTGTGAAGGCAAGAGGAGAAGGGGACGACAGAGGACAAGATGGTTGGACAGTGTCATCGAAGCTACCAAGATGAATTTGACCAAACTCTGGGAAGCAGTGTAAGACAGGAGGGCCTGGCGTGCTTTGGTCCATGGGGTCATGAAGAGTCGGACACAACTTAATGACTAAACAACAACAACAACAACAACTTACCAATACGGTGTTCCAATGAAAGATTTCCTTTTGGCAATGGTCGCTGTTATCTGTGCTGCTACTCCAAAATCAGCTATAAAAGGAAACTAAAGACTGTGAGTGATACAATAAAACTTACCGTGATAAAGAGATGACATGATTTCTATGGACAAGATCATTACTACACAGTGACAAAAACTTTATAAGCCTTTGTAACATTAGTTGCATATTTCCCTTTAAGTCCACAGAGCAGAGTTACACCAGATTCCCTAATTAACTACCATGGAAGTAGCTTTATCTGACTGTGGTAACAAAGACAACGAAGTGCACTTTAAAGACTAACAAGTGTTATTTAGCATAAGTCATTGTAAACTATAGCTGATTTCTTCAGACACCACGGACGAATGAGGTGAAGAAGGTGAGGGTCAACCTGAAAAAGCTTCTGCTGAATAAATCTTGTTTGCCTTTGAGGTACCACAAGATTCTGCTGTTTCTGCTCTTTAATAACAGTTATACGTGTTCTGAACAAATTCCGTTTGGTTCAGATCTATACTTTTTATTTCTTCTTCAAAATCACCTATGGAAGTACACAGATGTTCCATCAAAGCATCTGTCTACTTGAAAAGGTACCCCCCCCAAAATTAAAAGTAAACACTGATTAGATTCAAAAGAACCTATAAGTGTAAGTGGGTTAAAATGCACTATATTCCACTTTTTAGAAAATCAGTTCTAAAAATCTAATAAATGAAAAAGCATCATTTTTAAAAAGATGAATAACAGCTTTTGTCTCAGTATGGACGTTCTTGCTCCAAAAANAAAAAAAAAAAAAAAAATCAAGGGAAGCCTTGCCATACACCCTTACAAGCTATTTGGGTTGTGGCCACGAGCTTTGTGCTCTTGTCAGATACGACAGGAGTAAATACACAATGGTAAGCTATGTAGTCTTTCAGATATTTTCACTGCCAACAAAATAAACAATTAACCATATACAAAAGTGAACTTATATGAGAGTACTCACCTAATTTCACATGGCCATTATCAGTTAAAAGAATATTTGCTCCCTTGAAGAAAAAATGCAACATATTTTTAGATAATAATAATAGTATTATAATAGTAATAATGATCTTAAAACTACAGAGCTGGAGTCTAGTCATCATCAAGTCCAGCCTCTGTCAAGGAGGCACAGAGGGGAATTGAACTGCCGACCTTCTGGTTCCTCTGGATAGCTCAGTGGTACCTAAACCATTGAGCTATCTAGCATATGTCATTTTCTTTCACAGCAATAATATATTTGTTGAAATATTTTGAGTATTAATGTTAACACTGGAAAATACCTACTGCCAAACTGTGAATCATATACTGTATGAAAAACAACTGTTAATACACACACAAACCAACCGCAGCCATTCTCAAGCCAAAAAGACCTACCGTATTTTTCGCTCCATAAGACGCACCTTTCCATAAGACGCACCAAATTTTTAGGAGAAGAACACAGGAAAAAAATTATCTGCTTTCTTCTCCTAAAATTTGGTGAGCCTTATGGAGAGGTCCATCTTATGGAACACACCCTAGGGTCCTAGGGTGTGTTCCAGGACCCTTTGGAGCCTCCCCCTGCCTCCCTCGGGGGCCAGAGGGGGTGAAATCGCCACCTTCTGGGGCTCTTCTGAAGTTTCCCAAGCCTCAGAAGAGCCCCCAAAGGTGGCGATTTCATCCCCTCTGGCCCCCAGGGGAGGCAGGGTCAGTCTCCAAAGAGTCCTAGGGTGTGTTCTAGGACCCTTTGGAGACTCACCCTGCCTCCCTCGGGGGCCAGAGGGGGCAAAATTGCCACCTTCTGGGGCTCTTCTGAGGCTTCCCAAGCCGGACCCTTGCAACGCTCCCCCCCACGGGGCCAGCAGCGACGAAATTGCTGCATTCACACCATTAGACGCACTAACTTCCCCACCCACATTTTGGAGGGGAAAAAGTGCGTCTTACGGTGCAAAAAATACGGTATGTCTATATGAAAGTTAATTCGAACAAATGCTTCAGAGGTCATCCTAATAAGACTGCAGCATTTTCTCATGGAAAATGGACAAAGTATACTTTTGGAATAATATTCTGTATACTGTCCTTCATCTCCATCTGAAAAACTGCATGTTGAACATCCCTGTACGATACCATGTTGTGCAAATTTTATCTTTGTACTACCTACACAAAAGTAAAGTGCAAGACTTCCAAAAAATTAGCAAAATCTAACCTACATCTAAGATAACACTGACTTCACTTTATGGGCTTTCTCTCCTTCTCCCTCCCACAGCACTTCTCGAACTGTTGCTCTCCAAATCCATTCTTGAAGTCTGACACACCTCTCAAGTATGGCGAACTGATCTCAATCAAGGAGATTTAGAACCTAATGTTCTGCAGATATATATTCACATATTTTCTGAATGATACTGTGCACGTGCCCACTAATATATTTTAATTCACAACTAAAGAAAGTGTCATTTACACCAATGGTCCCCAACCTTTTTAACTCCGTGGCCTGGTTGGGGAAGCCGGGGCACTCCCCTGCACTCGCGAAGGAGCGGGCGTGCACTCATGTGGGTGCACACACACGTGTGCACAAACGGCGCTTGGGGGCACTCGCACACACTTGCAAAGGGGCGGGAGCGCTCGCACAAATGCGCCAAAGGGCTGTGCGGGGGCAGGAGTGTGTGCAGGGTGGGTGGGAGATCTGTCTCTACGGCCCAGTCTGGCCCAGGCCACAGACCGGCACCGGTTCGTGGCCTGGGGGTTGGGGACCCCTGATTTAGACTTTATAGGTGGGAATATTTCATGTAACTTTGAAGAAATAACCTGTGCATATATGTTATATGGTGTCACATTGATTCTACCTTAGGGCAGCTTTAATGGGATTTCTAAGGTATGCAAGATATTTCAGGATTAGCTTACCAATGACAATTCCACTCCTGCATCCTAGGACTCTTGGTCCAATATTCTTATGATCTACCACACTATGTTGTAAATAAACTGATTTTACTAATATTCCTATAGGTTTGTATGGTTTAATAGATTATTCTCTTGAGTAAACATAGTATGCAGATTATTTGATATTAACAAAGTTATTCTTTCAGAGAAATAATGTAACTTAAGAACAATGCAATTAAATAATGCAATTTAACAAATAAATCCAGTTTCTAAAATTTAGCCACTATTTATTTCAAACTAATCTATTTTTTATCAAAGACTGTGGCACAAGATACAGCACAGAGCTGCAGCAAGGAGGGGGGAATCAGAGAAAGTGACAAACACACTACCTTAATTATCCTAAATGCATTCTGCTCACACGACACCCCTAGATTTAAACCTGTTTCTCATTCAATATGCACAAATGTAGAACATAATTCTGAGACAATTAAAACTGGTGTGGAGATAACACTGGCAATACCTTAATTGTGATTATTAGAACAGGAAGCTGCAGGATTATTCATGAGCTCCCTTTGAAAGTCCCATCCACAGTAATCTTAACCGCAGGTAAATGTCACATCAGCAATGTTACCCATGGATTAAACTAATACTTTCCTAAGCAGCTTCATTCCCCAGCTGTAACGGTGTCTTAGTGTTAACTATTGTTAATAGCAGTACTGATGTAATCTATGGTTGAAGTGGATGGGGAAATCTGGTCAAGAGAGGACATGCATTTCCATTTTAACCCTGGATTGGTTGAAAAATCACAAGTGTTATGCATGCTAACATTTGGAAGAGCACCAGTTATGTACAGCCGGAAGCCAAAGTAACAAAGCAGGAAATGCTGAATTGTACAGAGACCAGAATCCTATTAGTTATTGCTTACTGGTGTTAAGTACATAAGTGTAAATCTCCATGACAAATTGCTGCTAATTAGTAAGACAGCATGGGCATTTGATCCTTGTACCTGTCCTGTAACTTAGCACACAGCAAGCCCTTACACCAATTTCTCAACTAGTGACAATTTGTTGCTGAAATTTATGCCAAAGGATTCACACCCATATAATTTCTCAACTGTATCCCAGCCAATGGTTTATAAAAACATAGATTTTATAGAAACTGTTTACCAGAGGAGAAACCACATATTCAAAAATTCATTCACAAAAACATCAAACAAGAATGTACTCCAGATCTTAAAATCTATTATTCAAAACTTTCACTATGGGAAAAGGTACATGGATAGATTTACTAGCTCCTTAATAAATGTATTAATTTGCTTCTTCACCAGACAAGTATGCAAGACTAAGGCAAGCCCTTAACAAAGCTACAGAGACAGGGGCTGGAGAGCAGTGATCACACAGAGGGAGTAAAATACACAGTTCAAAGACAAAGGGAAAGTGTACAGCCAAACAAAACATACAGAAGAAACTGTGGCCTAAATGCATTTGTTTGTGCCAATGTCACAAACACAGGGAGACAAGAAAGAATGGTACTTCCGTCAAATAGTCAATCTCTGGCTCAGATCCAGAACAGTATGAGCACAACAGGGCTCTCCTACCCAGGCTCTCTCTCCCTTTGCAGCATTTTATAGCTCCCAGAAAGCCATGACTGGGATTGAGTGCAGTCTAGAATTAAAAAGAGATGTAGTGTACAGGAAACGGCTGGGGAGTGGGGAAAACTCAAGTCCCCTTCCCTTGCATGAGCAGACTTGCTTTGGGATTGTGAAGGGGGTGCTCTAGGTTCTACCTTGTGTCTACCTCACCTTAACAGTATTTGGATGTTATCCACCTATTAAGTACAACGCAGACAGATGTTCCCAGAGGAATAGAAGTCTTATACTGTCATTAGTATAGCTTTCTAAAACTTCATTTGTTCTCTTTCTTATAATTCATTTCAGATTGTCCCTATTTTTTTATTAAAAAAACCAACAAACAACGGACTTGAAACTGTTTTTACAATGGTTACCATCTGAACAGAAAATGTTATACTTCTCAAGAAATCATCGGAAGAACACTCATACCTTTATGTCTCTGTGCATTTTTCCTTTGCTATGAAGATAAAATAATCCCTACAGTTAAAAAAACAAAGATGTTAGACCAAAGCGTATGTGTGTGGGGAAAAAACCCAGACATTTTAATATTAAGTAATTCAGCTATAGATTTTATATATATTAGCTACATCAACATCACTGCATGGCCAACCCTAGCTAGGAAGGAAGGAAGGAAGGAAAGAAGGAAAGAAGGAAAGAAAGAGAAGAAAGAAGGAAGGAAAGGAAAAAACCAGACATTTTAATATTAAGTAATTCAGCTATAGATTTTATATATATTAGCTACATCAACATCACTGCATGGCCAACCCTAGCTAGGAAGGAAGGAAGGAAGGAAGGAAGGAAAGAAGGAAAGAAGGAAAGAAAGAGAAGAAAGAAGGAAGGAAAGAAAGAAAGAAAGAAAGAAAGAAAGAACGAAAGAACGAAAGAACGAAAGAAAGAAAGAAAAAAGAAAGAAAGAAAGAAAGAAAGAAAGAAAGAAAGAAAGAAAGAAAGAAAGAAAGAAAGAAAGAAAGAAAAGTAGTAGAAAAAAGACAAGTTCATTTTCTTCTTTAAAGGCAGATTTGTAAAACGTTACTTTCTTGGACATTACCAATGATTGGAAGTTAGGCAAAACCACCAACTTTCAGAGATGTAAACCAATGCACACTGAAGCCTCCAACCCTGAGCATGAAGATGTAGAAATCAGCAGCACTGAAATGAACACTCTTTCTTTCTGATAAATGAGTTTGGAATCTAAATACCAGACATTTGCCCTATTCTTTAAAACAGTCAGAGGTACACAGAATCTTTGCAAGCACCAAAGAAGATCACCTTGTGGTTCAGATTCAAAGGCAAAGACTCTGTGTAAGATAGGCCTATTCTTCTGCAGCAGCTAAGCCAAATACACACATATACTGTATGGACAAATGCATAGGCTGTAGCATTGATTGGAGGGGATGGTAACTCAAGATTAAAAGCAGCACTTTAGACAAAGATCAAGAAAATTCTATAAAAAAGAACATGAAGAGCGTGGTACAATAATTCATGTGCAGTTCTATACTCCACTGTTTATCCCACATAAATAATTAATTTCTTACATTTTGCTTCAAATTATTCCAATCCCAAAGGCTAGCAATGTGAGAATGTTGCATACCTGTAGTGTTTCCCTGCAAACATAGGCAATCTGCAGTTCTGAGAGAGGTCCAGTCACTGGAAGAGAAAGCAGCCCACATGCCAAAAAAGGGGGCAGGGAATTAGAATCACAATGTACTGTACATTACATTTTTTTAAACCTATGAACAGTTCATTTGAACTGTTGTTTTATTGGTTGTTGTGGGTTCTCCAGGCTGTTTGGCCATGTTCTTAAGGTTTTTCTTCCTAACGTTTCGCCAGTCTCCATGGCCGGCATCTTCAGAGAACAAGAGTCAGAACTTAGAACTCAGTCTGACTCCTGTCCTCTGAAGATGCCGGCCACAGAGATTGGCAAAACGTTAGGAAGAAAAACCTTAAGAACATGGCCAAACAGCCTGGAAAACCCACAACACCCATCGGATCCCATCCATGAAAGCCTTCGAGAATACATTATTTTATTCTCTTTTATCCGCATACATACCATATTTTTTGTGTACAACCCAAAATTAAGAAATCAGTATTTTAAACATAAAACAAAACAAAGTTTTATTTAGCAATTAGGTAACATTTACATACCAGTACTGTCATATTATGATTTACACTTTAACTTTACACTTTAACTTCAGCCTCTGGGCTCAGAACACTCGGACATTAGGAGTCCCTGTGGCATCTGGCTTTGTTCAGCCTCAGCTGACATAAGTTACATAAGGCTTGTGACGGAAGGAAGCTAAGTGTCCTGACTGTAGGAAGATAAGCCTCATGATTGGAGGCAGCTAAGCCTCGGGACTGAAGGAAGCCTGTTAGCAGAGGCAAGGTATGGGCCATTTTGTTCTCTCCTTGACTTACTTCCGTGTATAAGATGACCCTCAATTTTTAGTCTAACGATTTTAGGAAAAAGTAGTGTCTTATACACAGAAAAATATGGTATATTTCTATTTTGAAATGGGTTATAATTTTCAGTGGAACCAATGTGTCTTCAGATTTTCCAGAAGGCCAAGAAAAGCCCACAAATAAGGATTTAAGGATCGGATTCATAATGTGGCTTCAAAGAGCCAAAGGATCATTCAGTTTAGTGGGTGACTTATCTGATCCCCACTAGGGGAAAAACCAAACTAATCAGATTCCTTACAGGGGATTCCACCATGTGAATTCACATGTCTTTATTCTCAGCAGTCGACAACATCTGGATCAAGCTGGACTTTGTTCTACATGTGAGTGTCAACAGCTGCGGGTTCCCTATTTGTGTCTTTCTCCCCCACATACTTTCTGCTTTATAAGAACTAGTTTAGTTTGTTAGGAAATAGTACAATCTTTGTAAATCCTTCAGTAGCTATGTAAATGATTCAGTAGCTATATGAAAGTAATTTTAATGTCCAACAAGTAGATTAGTCATGCTGTATACATTTTTAAAACCCTCAAAGTCTTCATGAGGTCAACTTATTGGTGGGCTAGAATTCCTATTAGCTCCAACCAACATAGGCAATGGAAAGGATGATGGGAGATAGAATACTGCAACAAGTGGAATGCTACATTCCCCTTTCCTATGTACATCATTATTCGGCAGCTATATGATTTCAGTGATCTCACTCTTTGCACATAAAGTCATTCATAAAAATTTTGATGAGATGAACTGAACTGCTTTCCAGGTGCAGGTAACATGTGCACTGGTAAAAGCTAATTTAAGTTGTTGAAGAATTCCAAGGCCAACATCAAGAAGAAAACATGCTACAATCTTTTGGATTTTACTATTTGCTGATCTAATTGTTGATGCTGGCCTGGTGTGAGAAACAGCTTGGAAATTAATTAAGAAAAAGAATATCTCACTCTTAAAAAAAGCAGGTTTTCAGCCAAAATCAGTAGTAACAGGAAAGCATTAGCTCTCAACATCTGTTCAATTACACATGTAAAATAAGATCATTTCCTTACACACAGGTGGCACCATCACAAGGACGTCAATCATTGTGCTTCACAGACAGACAAAGGAATGACTAGCCATAAGGGAATAACACAACAAGCCTCTACAAATGAACACCTTTTTTTCAAGTGTAAGTTTTAGTGACAGTCTGAGTATCATAAAGGTGAGGCCATCATTCAACTCTTTAAAAAACCAACCCTAGGTAGTACTTGGATCCCCCCCCCCATAGTATAAATTGAGGAGTTGAGGTCCAAGGGCATAAGACAGAAGGAAAAACCTGCTTTTCAGCATAGCAAAAGCCTGAACACACAGTAAATTCAGTGCTTGGAAAAGCTCTGGCCGAGCTGGTGCCAGAAAGTAAATTTTCTCAAGGTCTGAAAACTACATAATCATATAATGCTGTATGGTGTCTATATATTTGCTGAAAAATGGCCACGTGTGATATGATCATTCCACTCTGCATGAAATAAATTACAGAATGAAGAGGTAGCCGTTTTATGATATCCAGGACAATTTGGGGCAGCAAGCAGTGCCTTCAGCATACTGAAAATGGCAACACTCAACGTGGATAGAAATGGACCTTCTTCTGTAGTACAATCATCAACCAGTTACTGCTCTAGTCCCACAGCTAGTACTGATCAAGTCACTCAGTAAAGAGACTCGGCTAACCTTTTTTAAGGTTTCCTGTACTATCCATACATAAGATGAGGACAAATAACATGAATGCCGCCTAGAGTGGTCAACCGACTAGATAGGTGGAATATAAATTAAATAAATAAATAAATAAATAAATAAATGTAGATAACTAATCTAGAAAGATTAGATGCCACTTGTAATTATTGCCCAGACATGCAAAAATTCTGGGAGCACAAATATATTCACATCGTACTGTTTATTTAGTTTTATTGTTAGGAATGTTTTCAATTTTGCAGTGATTTATATTTCTTACCATAAAGCCACTCCCTTTTACAGGGCATTCTGTTTCTTGTCCCAACACAATATTCATTTCCCATGAGGTAAGGTTTCCTGATTATGAAGTGTATTTATTTATTCCCTGCTCCAATAGTATTCCCATAAGGTAATATTTTCGGACTACTGAGCATACTCAATCATTACTTCAGTGTTTTTTTTTGGGGGGGGGATTTAAGATATTTTTGGTAAAATGGGCAAACTGCAAAGTCACTCCTATTCTTGGGATAATTTCTCTCTTGTTTTTCAGTCACACTGTTTTGCCTCCATTTCTGTCAGCAATCAACCCAGATTTTCTACTAAAAGGAAAAATCTACAAATTGTTGCAATATAATTTTCTCACTAAAAGAGCACTAAAAGAGAGAATGTGAAATCTGAAACCCCACAATGTGGTTTTTACTCTAGTAGTGGGAATGGACAAGCTGCAAGGAAAGGAGCTTTTCATGGGGGCTGATGTATTTTTTCTCTCCCCTACATGTATTTCAAATTGTTTTTAATTTCTAAAATTTTGGTGGCGGTTGCTTTTAAAATCATAATTTCTTTATCATTTTAATAAGATAACTTACTGTGTTTTTACTTGTGCTTGCTTTTTATCATATTGTGAGCTGCCTCATGTTCCAGTAGTGGGGAATATGTGATATACAAATCAAATAAATAAATCAACAGAATGTGGTTGATCAGAGTGTAAATTCTGTTATCAAGCATCAATAAAAAAAGGAATAAAACAAAATGGGCAGAACTTCAGCTCAATTCCATTTTTATTCAGAGAGCAGCCTTGGGAAACTAAACTAATACAATCCTCTATTCGTGTCAGTGGTATATATTTAGGCAGATAAGTCTCTTACCTGCTGACTAACCTCCCTTCAATACACATTTGTATAAAACTACCACCTTATACAGCAACCCAAAATAAACTGAGATTTACAGTACTGGAAACAAAAAGCAGCAGTGTTCAGAAAAATAACTAAGGAAAAAAGGCTCCCATCGTGAATTATTATTAATCAGTAAAGATTCATATTATTGTCAAGAGGCATAGCTTGTTATTTCCTGGTACCTGTGAGCTATAATAGGTACAGTGGTGCCTCGCATTACGAGTGCTCCGTTTGACGACGAAATTGCATCACGACAAAGATTTTGCGATTATCGCAAAGCAATGATTTTTGGCCAGCTGATCGGCGGTTTCAAAATGGCCGCCGGGTGAAAAACATGGCCGCCCCCTGTTTTCTGGCACAGATTCCTCGCTGCACGGGCAGGGAAAATGGCCACGCTATGGAGAATCTTCGCTAGATGGTGGATTTTAAGCCCCTAGGAACGCATTAATTGGGTTTTAATGAGTTTCTATGGGCTTTTTAAAATTGCATGATGATGTTTTTGTTCGACAGCAATTTTTTCAGAACGAATTAATGTTGTCATGTGAGGCACCACTGTACATTGTTTCTCTGTAGGTTTCAAAACAAACTCTTCCCGATCCATCGTCTAATTATTCAAAGAGATAATAGAACTGTCTTGTATTAAACCTAGAATGTGCAGCACCTGAAAATGTTGTGCTTCTTTTTATCTTACCAGGGTAAATGTCCTGCAGTGAACCTCCTCCACAGAATTCCATGCAAATCCACAGTTTATCACGTCTAGAAATGACAGGTGTTATTAGTTTTGTTTACTTGTGAACACAGAATGCAATGATTATAATATTGCTAATATGATTTCTATTTAATAGTATGAATTACAGTCTATTTCTTAGATGTATGCATCATAGGAAAAGTCTGCTCATTAAACAAAATGTCTTTTGCCCTGCACAGCTCTTTCTTCCTGCTTCATACATCTAACACAGCAAAAACTATAATCATCATCTTAGAACTGCAGAGCTGGAAGGGACTCTTTGAAGGAGACAAAGTGGGGAATCAAACTCACAATCTCTGCTGCCGCAGACCTAAGCCATCGAGCTATCCAGCAGTACTTCATTTCTAAATATTTCAAAGCCATATACATATATTCTCAAAACTGACACATAGCTATTGGGTTTTCCCTCTAGACCACTTGCAGACAGATGCAAGCTATTTTATTTGAGTTGACAATGTGGGGGGCAATCCTGGCAGGATCAGCTGATATTTCATTCTACGTTGGCACTCTCCCTGTTTCACTGACAAATTTTACACCTTCGGTTTTAAAATAATGTAGCTCAGTAGAACCTACTGAGCAAGGAAGGACAAAACCTGACTATAAACTGAATACAATACAGTACATAATATCTCTGCATGACTCACAATAGCATCAAAATGCAGATGCTATTACATAGCAGCTATGAAAATGGTGTAACTTAATTCTATATTTAATGAACTATAATGTTTTTTACTAGTAAGAAATAAGACATGGAACTGAATGAAATTTATGCCACTCCATGGCTGTACTCATTCCTAATGCTTAAATACAGTGGTGCCTCGCTTAACGGGCGCCCCGTTTAACGATGAAATCGCACAGCGATTAACTTTTTGCGATCGCTTTTGCAACCGCTTTGTGATGTTTTAAATGGGGAAAAATCACTTTGCAATGATCGGTACCCTGGTTCGCTTACCGATCATCACAAAGTGATGATTTTTTAACAGCTGATTGGCGGTTCCAAAATGGCCGCCGGGTAAAAACATGGCCACCCGCTGTTTTCTGGGACAGATTCCTCGCTTACCGGGCAGCGAAAATGGCCGCCGTATGGAGGATTTTTGCTTAAAGGTGAGTCTGAAGCCCATAGGAACGCATTGAAGGGGTTTCAATGCATTCCTATGGGCTTTTTAATATTGCATAGCAACGATGTGCACAAACTGGAACTGGAGTAGCAAGAAATAAAGGCAGGGTATTTGTGGGATCTGGGAGCAGAGCCTGCAAAGTCAAGGGTTATAATCTCCTGTGCAGATTCTGGGACAACAACCCAAGAGTCAGAAGAGATTTATTATGGACATGAGAAAGCAGAGAGACTGAACTCCCTAGGGAGTGCAGGACGCTACAATTAATTAAATATGGGTACTGCTAAATTCCTAGCATGCTTCATCCCTCGCACAGCCAGCTCACAAGAGGTCTTTCCCCTCCCACCCACCCCCTTTTTTGCAAGCAGTGTAGAAATTCTTAGATAAACAAAATAACACCATAAAACGATACCTGAGATAGCTGCCAAAATAAGCAACAATGTTCGGGTGTTTACAGTCTTTCATCATTATGATTTCTTGCTGCACAACAGCAAAATCTTCACCTAGAAAAGAGTGTACTTATTTATTTAAGAATTGGGTATTGATTGTCTAATGACTATGAATACGTTGTAAAGATTATAAAATAAAAATGCTGTAAGGTTTTTAAAAGCTTGAAATGTGATTATGATTATTATTTTCTTCAGATGATCATAATGTCCATTGAAATACCAAAGAACTCTGAATGACACTTTAGATATTATCTTGTTAAACTGCACAGTATTTAAATATCTTATCATGCAACCAGTTGGTTTATTCAACAGCTTGCTTAGTCAATAGTAAGAATAGAATTAAATATACTATTGCTGTTGAAAATGGCTGTTCTGAGTAGAATTCTCTTCTATTCCCCACGACAGGCTTATATGATATGACAACATCATGTAAGAGGAGTATTATCCTAGAAAACTATTTGCTGTTAGTGGGGAAACAATACAGATCGCAATGTATTCGCAAAGGCTTTCACGGTCGGGATCTAATTGATTGTTGTGGGTTTTTCGGGCTCTCTGGCCGTGTTCTGAACATGGACAAAGAGCCCAAAAAAAACCCACAACAACCAATACAGATAGCACCTGATTATAATTTACAAGAAAAGGGAAAACTGGTCATAATATTCCTAATTTTGCCAGGGATATTACAATGGCCATCATGCCTAGCTGCTTCTGAAATACTGCCACTAGAGATGGAGGTGCTGTAGTCGGATACGAAGCCTGCCAGCACAGGTGGCTGGCTTGATTGACACCCACCTCCAGAACCTGCTGGACTACTTACTAGGTGGCACGCATGACCAGTGTCATCTTCAGCACTCCAATCACAGCAGTAGTCGTGTTCCCTCAGCTCCACCTCCCTGCTCATCCGACCACTCCGTGGCTGAGCAGGGAGACTCATCCTCCCGCCCCCTTGTCAGAGTGGCCAGGTGAGCAGGGACGTGGGGCTGCGGCAGGCAGGCTACTGCCATGATTGGGGTGCTGCAGATGACATACAGTAAGTAGTCCAGCGGGTTCTGGAGGTGGGTGTTAATCGAATTGGCCACCTGTGCCAGGGGGCTTTGTATTCATTACAGATATGAAGCTCCCATCTCTAGCTGCCACACATGTACAAATAAACTTACATTGATATCATGTATGTCAAAAGAAAACTGCACATGCATTATCATGCATAACCAGAGCACATGCCTTATTTTCCTACAGGACAGGAAAACGAGGCCAACAGCTGTCAGGGTTATGAAATGTACCAGGCACCACCCATTTTGCTTTCAAGGCTGAGGTTTTTCAAAGGGCATGGAATTTTTGACAAGGCTACGCACAGAATATCCATACATACTGTGATTTGTCTCAGCAGGAGCCAAGACTGAGAGTAGCTGCGGAAAATGCTGAAATGTATGTGTCATTGTTAGAAGCCCAGCAGAGATAGAATTCAAAGCTCTGGTGTTTTACCAGATACTGCCCACATATGTTACAAGCTTTTTCTCATAGCCATAAGCTTTAGGAATGCCTGCATTTTAAAAGCCAAATCTGATAGATTGTGGGAATCTGCACTAATCCTGTTCTGTATGGCAAGGATGGTGAGACTTACATATTCCATACTATCAGCAATGCCCCAGTTTAATGGTTATGCTCCCAAAGCCTGCATCCTCCTTGCATGTTTGCCTTGGCACAGGATACTCTATAGAAGGAAGTTTATCCATTTGTTCTTTGAACTTTACTGTGCTGGTCTCTAGGTGCACTTGAAACTTGCAAAAGTCTTTCAAATATGGTCAAAGTAATATCTAGATCAACTTCCTTACTTAGACTTTTATAGAACAGCTAATTTTACCATGAGCATAAAGACACAGAAAACACTGCTGATACTGCTCTCCCCTTTCTCTTTTGACCAGTATTACAAGCAAACGGTCAAGTTACCCAGTCTTCTTAGTTCTACTTCTTTTTTTCTGTGTTATTTTAAAACTAGAAAGCAAATTAACAGCACATTTCATATACATTTCCTCGGAGGAAAATTTCACTATGGTCAATGGAGCCTACTCTGAGGAAAGAGTTCAAGAATGTGTCGTTTAAAAATATAAATGGACATTTCAAATAACTAATTCTTATTTACTGAATAAAAATGTCAATATGTTACAACCAAAAATAGTTTGGCTAAATGTAATTGTCCTCATATACAAAATTGAATTGGGGAAGAATTGGAACATTGTAGACTGTCATGTGAACTGCTATAAACCTGGGATTCTGTAATAATACTGTCAAAGACAGCAGGCCATAAACCGGTCTGCAACCAGTTTGCATGTCTGACTTCACAGGAAAAATATCCTATTTCCACTACAGTCCCCCTCCAACCCCCCAAAAACCTGTCTGAAAGAACCAGAAAATCATCTGCAGCCAGTTTTTGAGCAGCCTCAAGGACTGCAAGTGAAAGGAAAGGCATCTCCATGACATTTAGAAGCATCACATTGAATTTAGTCCTAAATTTCTTACTCTAGGCATTTTAAAGAAAAGAGCAGTGGATGCTACACAACGCTTTCAAACAGATATATAAACACACTGGTCAACATCCTATAGTTTTTACTTTGGCTTTAACACAACTGGCATAAACCTCTTTGGCATACAGCTGCAAATTGAGAACTTCACATAAGCATTTGCTGTTGGGCACTTAGGTCACATGCTGAATCACCTACATGAACTTCTTAACTCATGGCAATTTGCCAACAAGAGTCATGCCAACTGCATTATGCAAGCAGGCATAACTAATAAGAGTTTGGTCACACTGCTGAAGGATATCCATATATTGCATACAGAAAATGCAGTACAGTATTTCATTAACTGCTTCATAACAACATGGAAATCCAGGAGAAGCATCCTTTCTCTTTCACTTACATTTCTAAGGTACAAATCCATTTTTATTTCATTGCCACCATCACTTCCTATGTAAGTCCCCACTGTGATCCCTCACTGCATGCAAGTCAAGCACTACAAAGGACTTGCAGTGTGCTCTAATTAGCAGCTGAAAATGAGCTTTCCCCAGTTGGACTCTCAGTTGTGTCAATGCAGATGACATCATCTGCCCTATGCCAGGTAAGTTTACACAAGAGGATGCTGACCAATGTTTTCAGGTGACATAGAAACTAACTGAACACTGTTTAAAAAAACACTTCAGTAGATTACAATATATATTATTTAGGAAAATGAATTACTTAAAAAAATAGTTTTACTGCTTCGCTTTGGCACCTTTAAAAAACAAAAGGACAAAAAAGATGTGAAAAACAGGACAAACCCCAAATCTTACCTGGCTCTAACTTGATTACTTTAATCGCTGCCAGTTCACTTGTGTTAACATTCCGAGCCTATTTAAAAAGGAGGAAAAAAGGATTTAAGAGGCAGTAGAACAAATTGTGCTGCTAAAATATTTACTTGCTGGATCAGGAGACTCAATCTTAAGGTGAGCCACCTGAAGAATTCTGGTGAGTAAATAGAAAGAATCTAAGTGAAACAGTCTTCACTCCTGTTTGTTTGTTTAATTGATATACTGCCCCATTAGTGCCAAAGCACTATTCTGGGTGGTTTACAAACAGTTAAAATAAACTACACAGAGCAAGAAACACTAAATACAACATAAATACCAAAATTATAGTCTTAAAAAGAAATATACCTTAACAACCAATGGCACTCAAATAATTTTCAGGCTGAATTAAAACTGGAGGTGAGGCATTCAACCAGGGTCAATGTGAAAGGTCTCCCTGAAAAGTAGTGTTTTTAACTGCCTCCTAATGAGTACAGGAAGGGGGCCAGGCTTAGCTTCTCTGGGAGTTGATTCCATAACCTCGGTGCCATTGCCAAGAAGGCCCTATCCCTGGTAGATGACTTTCTGGCCTCTCAGGGTGGCTACATGGAGGAGCCTGGCCTGAGAAGATCTATTAGGTTCCACAGATGACACTGGGGAAAGACGCTCTGAAAGGTAACATGGTCCCAAACCATGGAGGGCTTTATACGTGTGTCAAAACCTTGAATCTGATCCGGGACACAACGGGTAACCAGTGGAGGCTGGCCAGCACTGAGGTGATGTGATCAAATTTGCTCACACCAGCCACCAGTCTGGTTGTCACATTCTGGACCGGCTGTAGCCTTCGGGTCAGTCTCAAGGGAAACCTCACATAGAGACCACTGCAGTAGTTCATCTGGGAGATGACCAGTCCCTGCACCAACATTCTGAGGGAGCCCTCGTCTGGGTAGGGGAGAAGTTGGACAATAAGCCTAAACTGATTAAAAGCTGATCTGGACCCAGCTGCAATCTGAGAATCCCAAGGAAAGGCTGAGTCCAGAAGAATAACAACATTACAAACTTATTCCCTAAATGGGAGGGCAGTGCCGTCCAGTCTAGAGATGATTCCCCCTACAACCTTTTAGAGGGGGTCCCCCAGGAACAAAATCTCAGTCTTGTTGGATTCAGTTTGAGCCTGGTCACCCTGGTCCATTCCAAGCAACACTCAAGTGTTTAAATGGCCTCCACTGTGGAGGTGGTAAAGGAGAGACAAGCTATGTGTCGTCACCTTACTCCAAATCTCCCGATGACCTCCCCCAGCAGCTTAACATAGATGTGAAACAGCACTGGAGATAACCCCAGAACACCCCACAATTGGCAGTCAAAGGGGCCAGATGTGAAACAGCACTGGAGATAACCCCGGAACACCCCACAATTGGCAGTCAAAGGGGCCCGACAATTCATCCCCAAGCTGAACTCTTTGGACATGGTCTTTGAGGAAGGTCCAGAGCCAGCTTAATGCTAAGCCCCTGATTCCATTCTTCAAGAGCCTGTCCAGAAGGATATGGTGACTGAAGGTGTCAAAAGCTGGCGAGAGATCAAGAAGGGAGGGAGGGAGCCAGAGACAGAGACAGAGAGAGAGACAGACAGACAGACAGACAGACAGACAGAGTTATGACATAAGAGTACAATCCAAATGGAGACTGCAGCCATGAAATCAGAAGATGACAAACTCAGAAGGGCAGCAATGAAGGAATTGGAAAAGATAAAGAGCTCTGCAGATATATCACTGGAGACCAAGACAATCCACACTCTTGTTTCTCTAATCATCATTTATGGGTGTGAAAGCTGAACAAGTAAGAAAACTGATAGGAAACAAATTGATTTATTTGAAATGTGCTGGAGGAGAGCTCTGCAGATATCCTGGACTGCCAGAAAAATGAATAAATAAGTACTAGATCAAATCAAGCCTGAACTGTCTCTGGAAGCAAAAATGTTGAAAGTGAGACTGCCATACTTTGGGCACATCATGAGAAGGTAGGATTCTCTGGAAAAGACATAATGCTGGGAAAGACTGAAGGCAGCAGGAAAAGAGGAAGGCCAAATACAAGACAGATTGACTTCCTAAAGGGACCACAGGCTTGAGTTTACAAGAGCTGAGCAAGGCAGTTGAGGCTAGGGCAGTTTGGAGAGTCCTCATTCATAGGGTTGCCATGAGACAGAGGTTACTTGACTGCACATAACAACAAGTACTGGTTTGAGACAATAAACCTGCATCTAAGCTATACTGTTTTGGCTCACAAGTGAGGCCTCATGCAATCACATACTTCTCAGTACACAACAAAAATAATGAAACATCATTCTGTACATAGGCTATTAGTCAGGAGAAAGAGTCTCAACCTACTTTTCAGCTTCTCTGGGCACAAAGGTTTTGTTTTGGAAGAAAGCCTATCATGCAGAACCTCATCTGTATTCTATGGCGATAGAAACAAGAAACAGGCTTGCAATTTCAACAAGAATTGGGCCTCAGGAGAAGCTGAAAGATCACAATCTAAATCAGATAAAAACATGATCATTATTGAAAAGTGAACTGAAAATAGGGCTGAAAAACAACAGCAAAAATAACCAGGACATTATTCGGAACCCCATAGAATATCTAAAATCGAACTATAGCTACAAAAATACATTTAAGGCAAAATGAGGAACAGACCCTTCAAAGCTGAATATTACATTCAAAGATGAATATTACAAGGATTACGGCTTTTTCTGCCATTTTGCCCTCTTTTTTCCTTCTTCGTTTAACTCTGAATTATTCACAAGTTCTTACAAACCAGACTTTTACCAATCGCAATCATGTGGCAGCACTTCAATATATACAAAAAGAGCAGCTGAAGGAAAGCATTCAACACACTGTTATTAAAAGGACTAAAGGCCAGCTTTTCCTCAAAGTGTAATAACGAAGACAATGGCTGATGGTCGGATTCCAAAAGATCTCCTATATGGAGAATTAATGCAGGGAAATCGCCCCAGAGGGAGACCACAGCTGCGATACAAGAACATCTGCAAGTGGGATCTGAAGGCCTTAGGAACGGACCTCAACAGGTGGGAAACCTTGACGTCTGAGCATTCAGCCTGGAGGCAGGCGGTGCATCATAGCCTCTCCCAATTTGAAGAGACCCTTGTCCAGCAGGCTGAGGCAAAGAGGCAGTCCCAAAATGAGCAAAATCAGGACATTATAACCAGGGAGCTGGACAGGGGACAGATTGTATTTGTCTTCAGTGTGGAAGGGATTGTCACTCTCGAATTGGCCTTCTCAGCCACACTAGACACTGTTCCAAGACCTCCATACAGAGCACGATACCATAGTCTCCTGAGACTGAAGGATGCCTGCAATAATAACGCAGGTATGGGTGGTGGGTGGTGGTACTCAGCTGTTACCCAAACCAAAGCTTCTGCTGAAAGAGGGAACACTGCAGGAAAGTATCCTATAAAACCATCCATCCACCAGTACAGCCAGAGATGATGAGGTGACCAGCAGAGTTGCTCTAACATCCCTTAGTGCTCCCCAGGTTTCTATAATCTTTGTAATAAAAGGGCAGAATTTGCAATCTTATTCAGCCTTCTTAGTGTCTTGAATTCCAGGGCCCTGCAGTCTCATGGTCACAGCAGAAACAGAATCAATCAATCAATCAATCAATCTATCTATCTATCTATCTATCTATCTATCTATCTATCTATCTATCTATCTATCTATCTATCTATCTATCTATCTATCTATACCCCGCCTATCTGGACCACTCTGATACAAAAAGGTACAAACCTGCTCTGCATTTCTAATTAAAACATTCTAATTTAACAAGTGAATGTCTGAGGAGGAAAAAGAACCAGAAGAATTCAAGCAAGCGGGGAAGGAGGGAATGGAAACATTGGAAAATTGATGGTAATAAAATAATTTACTTATACAGTAATGATAATAACATGCTTTCAGACAAAGTATTCACATATTCCATTAGGACTTTATTCCTACAAATAAAGCACACTTTGGACTTCATACTGGACAGAAATGTTCGAATAGTGCAGAATACAAACAGACTATCAGATATTTGGTCCAGGAATGCAGCCTGAGATTCTGCCAAGCATATTCGTCAAGCAACATGGCTAAAGACCTTGGCACAACACAGCCTCTAACTCTTTGTTTCTTGCCTGTTTCGGATTTCTCCAGAATGTGAAAAGTAGTAATTAAATCAAATCAAGAAACAAACCAACACATGAAAAATTATAAAAGCATGTTTAAATCCATGGAGACTTTCAGAAGTCAGTCACCATGAAGAAGATAAATATGATCAGTCAGAAAAAATTGCTGACTAGTATCTCAGAGAAGTAGATAATGACATGAAGTTTCATTCTGCAAAAGCAGTACTTACAGATTTTGGGTTCATTTTCCCTCCCCTCCACTGCAATTCTTTTCCTGAAAATGAGTTATTTCTGTCTTGCTGACACTGTGGAGGAGACTAAATTCAAAATGCAGAAACTTTACCTGCTTTACTAACGGCTTCACTCATTTACTTTATTTCAGCTTTTTGTTTGTTTTTCCATAAAATAGCAAAAATGAAGAGATGTTCATAATTCAATTTTGAGTAGCTCCCAATATTTCAAGATAAATGCAGTGGATAAATCTGTAACTGCTGCATGTATTAAGCAGTATTATGATACAACCGTTTACATTCCTAAAGAAACAAAATGACTTAAGAACATAGGGGGTGCTTATGAAAGCTACTAACATATCTTTAAATCATGTCCATACTTTCAAAAATCCCCAAAACCTAAGTGCTTTTACAAGCACACAAATTTATATTACCAAGTAATAAATCCCATAGTGTTTAGATGGCTTTGACTGCTCATACTTTCTAACTAAATGAAAAATGGTTTATTAAAAAGGGGGAGTGCATGAAAGGAACTCATGAACTCCCTTTTCTCTCTCACTGGAATTAGTTCAGAATCTGCATCACAGGATGCTGTTGTTACATGTCAAGTCATTTCCATCTTGCGTTGCCCTATGAATTAATTACCTCCAATATACCTTGT